AAAGATCTTTCAGTTCTTTAATTTAAGACTTGCTAGGTCCAGCTAACAGCATATCATCGACATAAAGCAGCAAGTAGACTTTACAACCGCTCTTTATGTCATTAAAATACAAGCAAACATCAAATTCACTTCTTTTAAACCATATCTTTAGTACATAGGCATCAAATCTCTTGTACCATTGTCTTGTGCTCTGTTTTAGCCCGTACAAAAATTTCTCTAACTTGCACATATAATCAGATTTGCCTCTAGCTACAAACCCTTGTGGTTGACTCATGAAAATATCTTCTTCCAACTCCCCATGTAAAAATGCAGTTTTTACATCGAATTGTTCAGGTTCCCAATTGAATTGAACAATAAGAGCCAACATCAATCCGATTGTCTTATACTTAAACACAGGTGAAAATATCTCATTATAGTCCACACCCTTTCTTTGAGTATAACCCTTAGCCACTAATCTCCGCTTATACGTCACAGGATTATTAGAGCTCAAACCTTCTTTTAACTTGTAGAACCAATTTTTGATATTTAGGTTTCTTAACAAGTTTTCAAGTTTTATTATCACTCAAAGATTTCATTTCTTCTTGCATAGCTTTTATCCAGTTTTCAGAATAATTTTCATTAATAGTTTTTTCATGAGTGGCAGGTTATATCTGTTCGAGGGCTTCACCTAAAACTAAGGCAAACTCAGTCAAGCTTAGGGATTCAAAAGGGGTTATTCATCAATATTTATGTGTTGAAAGGCCTGAATAAAACTCAGTTGTAGAGAGAAAACACCATCATCTTCTCAATGTGGCAATGGTGTTATTCTTTCAATCCCTGGTTCTTATTCAATTTTGGGGTGAATGCATACTCACAGCCACCATTCTACTCAATAAGGCACCCTCATCAATTCTACAGAACAAAACTCCTTTCCGTCTTCTCTATAAATCCCCAGTCCAATACCAGTCCCTTAGAGTTTTTGGCAGTTTGTGCTTTGCCTTATCGTCTTATCGCCCAAAATTTCTTCAGAGAGATGTGTTTTTGTTGGATATCATCCTGGCATCAAATGTTATAAGCTTTATAACATTGTTTCAAAATCTTTCTTTGTTTCAAGAAATGTTAAGTTCTACGAACATCTTTTCCCTTTCCACACTATCTCTTATGATAATTGTTGGAATTTGGATGTGACCCGAATTTCTTTATTGAAGTGTTTGAAGTATTGAAGAATTCTAATTGAAGTGCAAGTCATGAAGAATTTAAATTTTAGAATGCTATTGGAGTTCATATATCAAGTTGAAGTTCTATTTTGGTGAAATTGGGAGTTGAAAATTGATATTGGATTTGAAGAAGAGTTCAGAACGGAGAATAACATCATTGAAGGCATTTTAGAAATTTTTAGACTGTAAACCAGCGCCTAGGTGCTAGGGTGCCTAGGCGGTGGCTTACTGTTTTTCAACAGCGCTAACCCCTGCGCTTAGGCGTCCGGGGTATAGCGCCTAGGCGTCACTGCCTCTGTTCCATTTTTTCGATATTTTCTCTCTTATTTTGTTTTGGACTCGCTTATTTTTAGCATTCTACTTCAACAATTCTACCAGAGGGTTTGGACGTTCCCCATAAATATTAAGCTCTTCTATACAATGATGATCATTAGAAGATCACCTGACTGTATTTAAAGAGATCGTAGCTGATTTGAAAACTTTGGAAGTAGAGTATGCTGAACAAGATTTGGCTTTGATCCTATTATATTTGTCGCCTGTTTTGTTTTCTTCATTTAGAGACAAGATCTTGTATAATCGTAATACTTTCACCGTAGAAGAGGTGTATGATACTTTGTATTCAATAGAGAAGATGAAGCATCTAGTTTTTGAGGCCAGAGATGGAGAAAGCCTAGTTGC